TGTGCAATGAAATTTATGTTAGTTTTTGTTATAAAATTACATTATGGAATATTAAAAGTTTTAATGTTATGATGTAGAAAGATCAAACTGCTGCCTAAGATTTCTTCATGAGAGAAATTTTCGTAACCCAGTCATAGCTATATCTTCCCTCCCCCTCGAAGAGTACCTAAACATTTGTGTGGATTCTGCTATGGAGACATAAAGGGTAAGTTAAAATCTGCTATATCCTGAAACTTTTCTGTTTTTTTTTTTCCTCGGTCATGATTAAACGCCATCCAATCTGTGCCATGCAGATTTATCTCACGGAAATATGATCAAGCTTATATAGATTATTTTCTCGATTTTTTTCAAATTCAGAGGCATGTCAAATATTTGTATGTGTTTATCTTGAAACATATACAGATACTTGAAACACATACGGTTTTGCAAGTTTTCGCTTTTAGGGCTTTAGGTTTGGTTTATTTAATTAGGGCAAAGCACACTAGGGCTATCTGCCTGAGGGATGCCTTCGTGGAGGACTTTCTAAGGGAAACTGGCTCGTATACGCGTTACACATGAGGAAAACGACGAAAACGCCCATGCAGCCAGCCCGTTCGCGGGATTCGAATCTCGGACCGAACTACCAGTGTTCAGCGACTATTTTAGGGCTTTCGAGCAAACACGCATGGAGTTAGAAAACTCTTTATAAAAATATTAATGAAATTAACATTATAATAATTTCATTAATATTTTATATCAAATTTAATATTTTTGCTTTAAATATTAATAAATGTTAATTATATATAATAATGATTTTCTTCATAGCATAATAAAATATACAAAAACGTACATTAGGAGACTAACGTATGACATCAGATTTCCCCTGTCTAACGTTGAGAATTTCTGAAACTGTATAACAGATGTAAAACAGATGATGTAAAACAGAGATGTGAAAAAATTAGATGCTCTCTTTCATTTCAAAACATACCATGACATTTTTTTCAGTAACGAAATTTCAATAGCATCCGACAAAAATGTAATAAACAAACAAGTTGTTGATTAAAAATGGCTATAGATCGCTTTCTTAGCTTAATTGTGTTTATTTGAAATACTTTTTTATGTAGCATATATGTTCAAACATGTAGCATTAATTCCAAAAGGAATTTCAAATGCATTTGACAACTCATTTTTAAAATATAAAGATTCGTGGCTTAGTCATATCAAAGTTTTTAAAACGTTCAATTCTTTTCAAAATAGTTTTATTGGCTTCGACTAATTACGCATTCCAATTTAAAGCTTTTAATTAAATTTTCTAAATCGAGACACATAAAAACGTAGTGTAAATCCCTACATATTTTTATGACATTTACAAGAAAGAGGAGGACTTGACAATGACAAACGGTACACGCAAAAATACAGTATTAAGGCCCTCTGTCTCATTTTACGTCAAATTATTTTATCGCAGATGCCATTCAAATGTCTTATCTGTTCCACCTTTCATTCATTTTCAAATATGTTTTCCGTTTGTCATTTATTTCTGAAAGGATGCCAAATTTTTGTTCGTGGGAAACATTTCTAGAAGTAATCGATAAACCACTACTTTCTCATATTATGAAGCGTTATTGATAGAAATAAAGATGAAGAATGAATTTTTAAATCAAAAATCATCTCTATTCTAAACGGTTGGAAGGTGGTAAAACTCTGAGAAATAATTGTTTCATACATATATAGATATGGTACTTTTAATGCTTTCCTAAGCAGAATACGTGTTTATTATAAAGAAGCAGTTTACATTCATAAGGGCACTTTTAAATGAAATATAATTAAATCTCAAGTAATATTTCATCTCAACAAACACGATAAAATTGTTGCGTTTCATAAACTACTTTTAAAGATCACATACAAAGGAAATGTGTAGTGTTTATTTCAGGTTACTAAAGAGTGTCTTTTAGACACACATTTTCTTTCGACACACATTTTTATTCCTTCTACTTTCAAAATACATATATCCTTGATAAAGAAGCTTATGATAAATAGCTTAAACAATAAGATGATCTTCATACGGCTAGCATATAGATAAAACTATTATGAGACTAAATTCACCTTCTGATAGTAGATATGTACCTGTGTTTAGTAGTGGCATTGGTCTTACACAGAATAATTTGCTCAGTGTTTATTAGTGGCATTAAACTTACACAGAATACTTTGCAATTTCGAAGTAAAACCGAGAAGTTTATCAAAGGCTGAGAAGTACCGGATAATACTTTACTAAGACATTTGTTGATGTTAGATACATTGTTATTAGAATTAATTAATTTATTTATTTTGAAGGTGTAAATTTTAGAATTTTTATAAAAAAAAAAAAAGAAAAATAATAATAACATATCGAGTCATGTTCTCTGGATTATATCTGCCGTTAATTAAAATGTCTCAGAATTTTAATTTTGAGAAGAAACTAGTATCAATTTATTTTCATATTTAACTCTAAAAAATTTTAAAAATAGTAAAAATAATTGAAAACCTAGTATGTATAATTTCTAAACTTAAGAAATTGTCAGTTAGTGTTGCAATGAACATAAAATACGGTCGTTTCTCTTTACTGATGTCTTTAGTAATTTAAGAAAAATCATAAAATGTCCATATACAATCTCAGTATAAAAGTAATGCATTTCTATTGTCATATTGCATTGCCACGAATCCCTTCTCTGTGTTGTTCTGACTTATTCTGTTCATTTGTTTGAAAGTAGAATCACAACAGGTCCACAAACATTATTGTGAGAAGGAGCGCAGGACTATGTTAGTCATTGGAATGGTCCTTGAGTATCTCACAGGTGACAGTACGACTTTGTCCGGTTTCTTCTCTATTTTGAGAGGAAATTCTTCGGCGGATGGATCCAAGGGTCTCCCTACCCTTTTCTCCTAAAGCCACTCGAGAGGTCTTTCAGCTCACATGTGTTCTATGCTGTAAAAGCATTACATATATACGTACAAATATGCAAGATGTTTCCAGGATTCGAACCCGGACTATGGATAAGACAGCCAGAACCGTTTATTATTACACCGACCAGGCTGTATTCGCATGTGTACTTTATAGTATTTCAATACTAAACGAAAGTAAGTAAATTTTAATTTTTTAAATAAATTTTATTGTTTGTATTTATTTATTCATTTTGTTCTGTAATAGTTACATAAGACTGAATGGTTAAAAATCTGCAAACAAGCACTTTAGCTATTAAACATTGATATCAAGATATTTGGAGTTTAGAGGATTAAAACTAAAACTAATTAACAGTAAGCATTACATATTTTTAAATATTATCATCATTACATATCTATCAGTAGCTCCTTATCTATAAGTGTATAATTCTTAAAGAGAATGATTAATATTTTAAGGAACAAAAGTGCTGTTTCGTACATGTGAGTTATATAGATAATTTTTCAATAAAACTTCCACCCAAATTCACACTGTAACATTTCATTTAAAGTTTACTAACTAGCTTAGTTTGATTCTTTCTTTTACGCCTCGTTCCGTCAGGTACTCGCTCAATCCACAGAGTTATGCAGATATTTTGGTAAGTATCGTAAGTTAAAATGAAGAGAAAAATCGTAATTGGAATTACTCGGGTACAGATTTGGCTGCTGCAGCCGCTAATCCCTGCTTACAGAAAGAGAGCCGCTGGTCAGGTCAGACGTGAATGCCTGCCTTTGGCAAGGTTAGTAATTTTTGCAAATTAATTGACATTCATCTATCCGACTCAATTAGTGTTTTAGCTTCGAGTGGTTTACTGCAAGTTGTAAGGTTTCGTTTAATTTTAAAAACCAGTTATCTTATGTTTTGAATCTGTCCTGTCATTTCTTTCTTTCCGTTTTCCAGCCAGAATGAAAATTAGTTTGCCTGAGTTTATAGAGAGGTTTGAAAACGTTAAGACTGAGTGTCTTCTGCCATTCGCGACCGCGTTACTAGATTTGCTATCCTAGATTGTCTTCGGTCTTGCAGAATAATTGACGATAGCTGAAATCCCCACGTCGGTGAAGTTCTGAGCCACTTTCGGGTTTATCTGCGTAGCATTTGGCTATTAGTTGTTTAAAGTCAAGATTAAATTTGACTTACTGATTTTGAGTTTCTCGCCAATAATGCTGGCGGAGTTGTAAGCACCAAGAGTACCTTCTGTTAATTTAGTTTTAGGTAAATGGTCTTTTACGCCCTTCTCAAGCATCTGTTGTACACAGAGCTTAGAGATAAGTAACTTATCATCTACATAGATCTTAACATTGGATATTACCCAAAAGAGTTGAAATTTACAAAGTAAAATCTAGTTCACATAATGTAAAATTCGAAAAAATTACTGTTGACAAAGAAGACTATAATTTTTGTTGTATTATTTCAAATTGATCTCACCAGCAGTGAAGAAATAAAGTTTTATGCTAATTTTCACATTTTGTATTGTATTTTGAGTTCATATTCAGAACGAACAAAAGCAATAACTTGCCGACAAATAGGAGCAACTTCAGAAAGGCAGCACAGCAGAAGCAGTTAATTAAGTACTTAAATACTCTTAGTCGCTATAATAATGCATTTAAGATCGTAGATTAATAGCTTATGATATCTTTCATTTTTTATAAAAAATCTAGGAAAGCGCATATAAATAAATATTCATTGCATTATTTCAGTTCTAATAGCAGTATCTTTTTAATTCGTGGTTTATTTTTTTCTAGACGTCTTCGACTTCGATTTGATATTGCATGGCATGGATAACTGGTCAATATGATTACGATCGTCTGTTTTACATTACTTGTTATTTTGCAATATCTTTAAAAAGAAATTCTAATGGATTTTGTTTTATTATTTATCTGTCAATACTGAAATTTTCGGTAACTAACACTTACAGATTTTATCAGAATTTCAGTAGATCGTTTCATAATAATTCATCATTGGATTCGTTTTATTCTCCAGTTTTGAAATTATTGGTAACAAACACATATAGAAATTCCCTTCCCTCTTCTGAGAAAACTGTGCTTACCTTTTGGATAGGACAGTCTTGCCTCCAAGGCTGGTTTTCCATCACCACAGTTGTCACGATCACGCGGCAAACAGCGATCCCCACTTCCTACCACCACATCGAAGTTGGATTCGGGATCTTCGACTTTATCCAGAGAATGTATCCTGAGAATTTGATGCCGTTCAGGATCAGAAATATACAGATGACTGTCAGTTGGACTAAGAGTGATATGGTAGTGAGTCGACATATCGGTAGTTCTGAAAGAAAGCAAATTTTACAACAAAGGAAATACGACTAATGCAAGGAAATTTTAAATTTTCAGTTTAGATGCAGTTTAAGACTTTTGTGTGCTAAGATGCATAATGTTTAATGAAAAGTAAATTGATATTCTAGAGAATTACAACCAAAATAATATACCTCCCGGATCCGGAGTACGAATTCCAGCGAGGGGGTTGCACATTTTTTACGTTTCAACATGAATGTAACTTAACGACTCTACATCGGCGCTCGAACTGAAAAGGTAGTGAACAATAATTCCTCACCACCAGGATTTGGCGAATGGATCCTTCACATCCAGGTTCCCTTTAAAAGGGGAAGTATATAAAGTATTTTCTCCCTCCTTTCCGTATGCCTTCGTGGTGTAATTGAAAGCCCGCTCATAGCGCATTTGGGAGGTCCTATATATTGTATTTGAATCCCGGTGAGGGCACTGCATATTTTGCGCGTTTCAGAATGGATATAGTCTAATGACTCTGTAACTTCGATGTTACATATTGGTTCTTTTCCCTTGTGAATAGTAACAGGCATAACATTATATTCTCACTTAAACATACCACTTTTAAACTTTCTTAGATCTTCTGCACTAATGTAGGACAACAAAAGTTCCCAAATCATTGATTTTACCTACTTTTGTAATATTCAGACAAATTCTTTGACCTTCTTAATGTATCTTCATGGAAACTGTAGGCGCGCAATGTTTTAATCCTGGCCTATGAGGAAAATGTAATCAAATTATTCAATTAAAATCATATAAGAAGAGAAGGGATTAAGCGTGTTTGGGGTTAAGTTTATAAGAAAATGTTTACGTACTGAAAAAAGTATGCTAGAAACGCACCTAACGCTCAAGACTAATATAAAATTATTTCGCTAATCTTCAGGATCTTCACAACAATATTACAATTCAATAGCTGCTGTCGATCGAGATATATGTGGCTCACGAACAAAGAAAAAAAAAGAAAGATGATAATTCATCAGCAAATTAATGCTGGTCGAGTGAGTTTTATCTGGCTGTCTCTATTCACGTTTAGACAGTGAAATGTATTCCATTTAACAGTGTGCTATAATCATGATCCTCGTCAAATATTCCGTGTTCGAATCCGAACGAAGGCGCAACAGCCCAGAATCGCAAATTTTTCATTCACAACCTCTTTTACGTTTCTATAACCTTTAACTTTTCAATAAAAAATGCATATTTGCTCAGTTTACCCCAAGATATGATATTCAGACGTTTCTTATCAAGTCATTCAATATATGTTAGTTTATGTATGTAAGCCCATTTTATTAAGAATACCTATTCAAAGAAGAATAGATATGCTTAATAAAATGACATCTATCTTTTAACAACAACAACAAGAACAACAAGAAAAAAAAACTTGCAAAATATCTTTAAAATTTTAGTACCTTCTTCGTACTTAAGTACGATAGTCGGTTCGTACCAATATGATAACTAAATGCATGATAAGGACATACCAAACAAAACTATTAAGACTTAACACATGGACCGTTTCAAGCACCGTTTAACGCATTAAACGGTGCTTGAAAGTTACATAATTATACTAAATACAGTAAATCTTTTGTGATATCTTATTATTTTCCATCAACACGAACGCTCGGTGTTAATTTAATCTCAGAACTAATCTCCCTCCAATCACACAACAGTTAATTCGCTTTCATGGCAACGTTCCAATGAGCTTGCAGTCCGGGTTAAATCTTTCGTCTCATTCTTCATTAGCATAAAGAATATTTTTGGAAAATATGTAGATATGAGTGTGACAGCTATATAAAATCGTATAACATTGTTATTCAATTCTGTGTTTTTTTAATTTATTTCTTATCATATTCTAAGTGAATTCTATGCTCACGATTAATGTTTTGGAATTATTATAGACAGTAACAGTAAGATAAAGTTTAATGCTACTAAATCTGAAAATACTTCACAGAAATACGTAAAGTATTTTTTTCGCATCTTTATGTGAAATTATCACAAAACTATTTCGTTAATTTTTATCCATTTTAATGAAGTCATTTGCAAATCATCTTTTAAACTCTAATTAAAACTGAGCATAAAAGATCTTTCTAACAACTCATTACAGCCAGTGAAAATTTCGCAAAATAGAGTATACAAAGACTTTTTGTTTTGGAAAAATTCATGCATCCTCATAATACTCGTAAATTGAGCACAAAGCTTACAGCTTCTTTAACTCGGCTTGAGAAAATCTTTTCAAAGTTTCATGTCTAGAGAGGCAAAAGAAACAAACCAAAATAACCCTAGAGTGCACATGATTGCTGATTAGGATGCCATGATCACCGACTTGTCTGTTGAGATTACCTATAATGAATTGTATAAAGTCATAGGATCAAGGTTACGTGGAGACTATATGCAGACCATTAAAATGGTTGTGGAGATGTTGAAGTTCTAACCAGCATTTGAGAATTTTCCTAACAGGACGAAGATCAAAAAGAAAAAAAAAATGACTCAGTAAACCACTCTTGAACAATTACCGTCATATGTGTCTCAATGCTGAATGAAGCAGTTTAATTTCCTTTTTCTAATTTTTAAACACCATCTACAGGTGTTTATAGAGGATGCAAAGTAAAATATCTTGGAGAAAAGTACGCAAGGAAAAACATCATAATCATGGGAGAACAGAAAGCAAGGATAAAACATCAACACTTCTGAAACATAGAGGTATAAAACATCATTGTAGAAAATAAAGCAGTTAAAAAATTCCGCATTTTTAAAATGCCGCATTAGAAAATATCTAAAAATCATTGCATGATAACATCCCAGCCGTATGTTTCCAGAATTTACAAAATTTAAGTAGAATTTGCAAGAATAGTTAGTTCTGAGCGCAAAAAGAAATGAGCAGCATTTTTACCACTGTATACACTGTGTAATTAATTAAAAAAATTTATGCAAAGAACAAGAAGGAAAATTTAGCTTTTAAAAACTAAAAATGAATCTAAAATTTATGCTATATATCGCAAATAATAGGCTTTTATCTTACGAAGATAACTATTAATTATTTAATTAATCTCTTTTATTTAGTCGTATTAACAGTTTTATTGAAAAATACAGTAACAAAATATTAGAAAACGAACTTGATTAACTGCATGTGGTTACCTATATCAACAATTTTTCAGCCGCCCAACCGGGGTAACTGTCAATGATGTTGTCATGGATGACTGCCGTACGTAAGGGCCCGGATTTGAATCCTGGCGAAGGCATGAATTTTTCTAAATGTATAGTTTCTGTGCGGCATGGGGGCACTTTCAATATGCGGCGAGCAGAAAGTCCTCTCGAGAGGGTGATTGCAGAGAAAGATGGGTGGACTCTCGGATCCGTTCTCCTAGATTCTATCAAAATTGGGGACGGAACTGAGATAAAGGTCTAGCTGTCATCTGTATGATGCTCAAGGCTCTTGCCAACAACAAGAGTAATCTTGCAGTCTATGCCACGATGAATTTTGTGGGCTTGTTGCGATATAACTGTCAGACAAGTGAAATAAGTCGCAACAACAGTTTTGAAAGCAGTTTTTCCTTGCTTTTTCAGAAAAATTTATTAGTTAAATCCAAAACATGAAATATGAATGTAAAAATATTTCACATTCCCTCTTGCGTTCACAAATAACTATGCGAACATACACTTGAAATTCTTAACGTCAGAAAACATATATCTGCGATTATTTGGGGATACTTTATTTTTTACGACGATGCTTTTTAAACCCACAAAAATGTTTAACTGCTTTACTTTTTACGATCATATTTCACACCACAATGCTCTAGAACTGAGATTTTTTTACTTTATAGTATCTTTCCTTCCACGATGTTTTATACGACGATATTACATCTTTGAATTGTTTTCTCCCCGATGTTTCAATCTTTTGTTTTCATCAGTAACCCGTCTGTAACTCTGCAGCTACTCCATCGTGGTGCGCCATTGTGAAACACAGTAAACTGAATGCTTACTTGGATTTAGCTGTCGAAGATTGGAACAGCGATAAGAGTCCCTTAGAATGTGAAGTTCCAGTAAAGGCTGTATCTATTTCGAAACAATGCATCGATTCATAGTTAAGTACCTGCGGCGGATATAAAACAAAGTAGATCCGAAAGGTTTGACGCAGTAGTTACCATTGCCGTTGTAACAATCTCACCTTCCTTTTTTCATATGTCATAGGTTGGCATGCCTTATCGCAGCTATTAAGTCCAAGTACCAATTAAAACTCTTTTATTGAACTACGTCCGGTATTTCCCTTTTTGTACTCAAAATTGCCATACGTAACCATTACTCTCAACACCACCAGACATTAACCATATATATAGATTGACAGGAGGTAATATATAGATGTCCCACAAATCGATATTTGAGGAGTATAAAATATTAACATAAAAATAGAACATTGTTTACAATTCTTACCTCATTCTAAAAACTGTGTAGACTTGTCCACTGGGTGTTACTCTTCTGATGAGATTGAAATCTCCCACATAAACGCTACCGTCAGGTCCAGAAGTAAGTGCAACTGGTGCCAGTAACCTGGCCTCTTTTGCCATTCCATTACATTCTGGGCAAAGCATTGGTCGCTGATGACCAGTTCCCATCAGAGTAGATATTACTCTTGGTTGCTGCCGGAAGTAGATAGTCGTACCATCTCCTTTCTGTAGCACACCTATTTAAATTGCATTCATTTAAAATGTTTAATAAATATCACATTTCTTTTACTTGCGCTTTTATTCTTAATCGTATTCTACTATCGTAAAGAAATTAAATAATTTTGCGTCTAGATACAAAGTAATGCCTTCTTAGAAATTCTACTGCTGCAATGCACTGAATACGAGATTTTGGAAATGACATCTAATTTTCATATTTTTTACAAGATGAAATACTTAGTTCTTCTTGGCACTACATCTATTTCTGAAGTTCTTAGATTGTTGCCATTGCACATTTTTAAACTGTCTTTGTGACGTGCTTTTTATAGTGATAGGGCTGTCTCATTTCTCGTCGCAAACAGTGCAATTTTATAAAATTTCAGGTACTTTATTTTTGGGCTCTTTATTTTCTATTTTATTTTTGACATCTTTATTTTAACGTTTGCTTGCATTCTAGTGTATGTTTCTTAGCCGCGATCTCCAAAGTTTCAAATAAGAATCCTTTATTTTTTTAACGATTAATCGTTGAAATTTACTACTAATGCTACACGAATATGTAATACTGAGTATCTATTTTGTATCAATTGGTAAAAGTGAAGGTATAGGGAACCAACTCACTCACTACATTAAACTTAGGTTTGTGTGAGATTACCAGGCGATTTATCACCACGTCTTAGTTCCATTTTAATATTGACTAAATAAGCCATTTTATTAAAACTCTGAAACTTAAGAAATGTAATTTTGTGCTTATAAAATCAAACGCTAAGTTTTATGGGATTTAAGTTAACACAAAATGCAAAATAAAATGAAAAGTAATTTACTCTTGAAATTGACAAGGGAAATTCCTATCAAGTTTGGGCTCAGGTTTCTAAACTTGCACACGTAGACTTAGCAAAAAGGCTAAAGCTGTTTTAAGTGATTTCTAAGACCTGGACAAGAAATATTATGATCAGAATCACTGCCAAAGACTATCTCTGTAACATACAGAACTCTATATATCTGTTAATTAATTGGCATGGGTAGGAACCAACGAAAATGGAACTAATAATATAAATGAAATAAAGGATAATGGGTTAATTAACACAAAAACTTTACAAAAGACGAAGAAAAATGCTGATGAATCCAAGAGAAGATGATTGTACAGTGTGATCCTTAATGAAGGGTGTTTTCTTAAAATACCGTTCTCCCAACAGGTACAATGGGTACGCTTTTTTTAATAATACTTAAGCTGTCTAGCGTATTTGCCAAAACTTCATTAATATGCAACACAATTATACTCTGTTACTTTAGAATAGGTCCTTCAAAGTCATTTCCTTCTCTCCAAACCGTGGCTCATAGCCATGGAAAAATTACTGACGGAAAAAAGGAATATGTCTAGTTTACGAGGTATAAGTCCAGAGTTTCCGGGAAAATGCTGCCTTTATTTAGTAATTCAATGTTTATACTAATTGTTAACCAGTATGCAAGCTGGGAGTTCTGGCCCTTTGTTAGAGCTAGATTATTATCGTTAGCTACAGAACACTACTTCTCTTATATTTGTTATTATCAGATAGTTAGCTACAGTTAGCTACGATTGTCATAATTTTAATAGTTCTGTAACTTCGGTAAGATTAAAATAAATTTTCCATTCAATTTTGCTTTGTATCTGGTAGTTAAAGCATTGACCAGAACTTGTTAGATTTTTTTTTTTTGGTGTCTAAAGATCGGTTGGGCAATGTAGAATGTTGAATGTTACGTAACATGTGAGATCATGCATCACCCTGTAGAAACTTAAATGCAAGCAAACCTTAAGTGTAAAGGAGGATAAAATGATCCAAAACTTCACAGATAGAGTAGGTGACTGTTAGTGTACCGGAAATGCGAATTACACTCATGTTGGAGCAAAGTTCTGTGGAGTTACAAATGCAGGTGACGGATTGGTATGATGATGCATAATGGGAGAATTATAATGTATGTTACCATTGTGTCCACAGCCTCATATCCAATCGTCGTGGTACTGCTGACAGAACTGAGATTTATTTAAATTTGAGCTTGTCGTTGGCACCCAGAAATTTCATATTCATATAACTGTAGCTTGATTTTATTCAAACTAATTTTTTGGAAAGATATTTCGCATTTTCTATAAGCCACATTTCTTACTCTATTCATTTCAGAAACTTTCTCAAATGATTTCGCTTTTTTTGACGAGGCGTAATGAAGCTTCCCATGAGAAGGAATATGAGGGAAAATACAATTAGTATTAAAAACTGGCTGCTATTCTTCCCTTTTTCAGTATTTCTAGGTAACGTTACTTTGCATATGCGCTATAATACTTCCCTTGAGGATCCTGTCGAAATCGCAGAGTACAAATTTCAAGCCTATTGGATGCTCACTTTATGATGCTGCATTTTGAATAGCCAACAATATAAATACCGATTTAGTATTGCAAATATTGTGTAAAATTTGAATAAATTACAAAACTGTTTTTATAAATTCTAAAGCAATCTTCGTATATGATATTCAACTGTCTTATTTTTTGGATGAAGTTTGATATGTAGACAGTACGTGAATCTTTATATTGCGAGAACTTTATTATTATAGAAATTGCTTCCTAAAGTTGAGTTCTCTTGGAAACGTATTTGATGCAATTAGAAGTTCTGTTCATACATTTTATGCAACATCGACTTTCATCGTTTTCTATACCCAGACAATCTTCATATTTGGACATCTTAAAGATCGTGTATTAAATGTGAAATTTATTTCTTGATTAAGGGTGACATACGTATACTTATTAAACAACGATTTGTTATCTGTTCAACGAACAAGCGAAATAGACATTATAATCTACGTGCGATAATAGACAGCACTCTCATTAAACATATGCAGATTATCAGATTAGAGTACGTGATTTAATAAACTACACTTGCGTCAAATTCTAGAGTGTTTGTCACATTTTGAAAGGATATCATTTATTTAAACATATTCTAGTGTTCCTCTAATCAAATGAGTATTGTATGAAAATTCAGTTGATAGACTGATAGAACTGTCATAAAGTGAATTTCTGATATGAGATGTGGAAGCGTTTAATCTATTAAAATATGTAACTATAAGCAGTCTATCAAATATATGTTCGTCATTTGACAAACGAATAGACAATTCAGAAACTGAAATCTGTGATAGTGGCTAAAGCAATTTTCAATTTATTAAAATTCATAAGAGAATACTTTATTGTACATCACAAAAGTTATAAAGCGTGCCATTCGCATAATTCTGTAACGTGAGAAAATATTTACCGATTTTCATAAACAAAAATACAAAATAAAATAATAAAAATGTCCATATAACTAACTAACACCTGAGTATGACTGCAAGACAAACTTGCAACTGTTATATTTTTTAACATAAAACCGTCGCTTCACGAGAAATCAATATTTTTAAAACAAAAACTATTGCTTTACTAAGATGAAGATAACGTTTTGAATGGCTTTTGGTTTGAACATCCTTACGTTTTCAAAGAAACTAGGAATAACGCTACCGGAAAGATTCAAAAATAATGATGTTTTAATAATATAATAGACCAAATATGATTGTAAATGAATCCTCAGTTTTTTAGTATAGTCTTTACTACGTTACATTTGTTCAAGCGGTTTGAAAGACTGCAGACTGCGTTACCTTTTCTGAACCTCGTTTCTATTCCTAGCGATTTAAAATGGTCACTACCCTTCTTGTTGCCTTCCGAAACAGGTCAGTCAAAGTTAAATATTTCGTTACATTTTTAGTTACCACGTGTTTACTCTGGAGTCGGTCTGGGAGACAGCTCACAACAGATGCGTGCCAGTTTTGTGCGATAGAAGCTGTTCATTTGATGTTCGTTTTTCTTAGAAGTGATAATCATGGCATGAAATTCTAAAAGAAAAATGTCCATATAGCTAACTCAAAAAGAAATTGTGAATAATGCTTTCGGATTTAGAATATTCTAATTCTGAAGAATCATGTATTATTGATAGCAGACAACAACAAAAACAGACTGAGTTTTCCGAAGATGAATATGCGAAATTTTCAGATTGATTGTACACAAGATGATCATTTTTATGAATTTATAGAAGAGATAATTTCAAGGTGGTGTAAAAAAGAACAATACAGTTGGAATACCAATGCACAGTACTATCATCCAGTACCTGGTCTGAAGCATCATACAAAAATAGACTCTAAAGCAGATCCCCAAGATTCTTGGAGTTAACGTTTTGATGAAAGTATGATAAAATTAATAGTCAAATGGTTTATTAAATGAACGAAGGCAAAATGAAATATTCTGGTCAAAATATGCATGAATTTATGGATATAAATGGATAGATAGAATGAGAAGTTAAGGCGTTTCTTAGACTTTTACTTTATTCTGTTGTTGTCAAATCAAATCCTGAAGACGTTGTTTATTTGCAAACTAAAAATTATTTTTTAGTTTGAAATTTAGCTCCCTTTACAAATTGAAAGTTTTGTCTTCTGTGTGGTAGCAGAACAAACGATGGAAGCAAATTGGCAAAGAAATTTGGGATTAACAGTAAGACATTTACGAACGCGTTTTGGACAAATCCTGCTGTATTGCAGAATTTCGTATAGAATAGAGAAAATATTTCCTTTGTTTAGAGACAACTTATATGCAACTTTCCAAGTGATTATTCGACGATTCTCCTTTAAAAGAGGAGAGTGCAGAGTTAATTCTTCAGTGATGACTAAATGTTTTGACCTGATTTCGACATCAGCTGTACTCGCACATGCGTGATTAAGATCATTGCACCGTAGGAAAAATACTTCATGTACCATACAAAGTTTTCATTGAACTGCAAATGTCCTTTAACAGATGAAAACTGGATTATTGCCTGCTCATACTGTTCAGAAGAATCCATGGCGAAACGTCTCTGTTTCAGACAAAGTTCAATTCTGCTATGCAGAATAACTCCACTAAAACTACAATCTCACTTTTTGGGGCACACTTTATATTTTTCTGTGTAATTACTTGCGAGAACAATTCACTCATTACAGCAAACAGAAAGTTTAATTCCAGATGAATAAAAATCTTTTGAAAGCATATCGATTCATTCTTATACATGTGAATAACCTGTTCATTAAGCTCCAATTTCAGTGCCACTGAATATTTGTTTCTTTTGACTTTGGAGTGAAGTAATGCACTCATTTTCGTCGCAGTTTACTACATAGTTAAAAAATAAACTTGTCTTTATCTTTTTCATAATGCTTCAAGGGAAATCCACTTGACTCTCACCTTACTAATTTTAAGAATTTCCCATTATCAACACTGACTTTAAATTCTTTAACGATTTTTTGGACTTTTAACTTGCAGTCGACGCCAATTTATTCATTAACAGCAATTGGTTTGCCTTAGTCGATTGAGATTCGCAGACGCAAACGTGTGGTTCATTTCCTCCTCTTACCGACCTTCTTTAAAGGACTCGATCTAATCATACTGTGTAAACTCAAACAGAGACGCCTGTCTCTAAACTGACTTTTAAGTCTCGAATAAGTTTGAGATGGAAAGACTGCTAGTTAAACATCTAATGATGACTCACAGCTTACAACTACTATGAATATCCTGCTCTGGCATGCTTAATATAATCAGTAGCAGTGATGGAGTTAGCGCTATTATTCATAAGTTCAAACAGGTATTTGCTTTAATGAGAATCGAATAAGTATCGAAATTTTTACAAGAAAGAGGTATGAAAACTATTTTTATTTTGAACATTTCTCATACATTATTTACATCAATGTTTACTTATAAATAATTCTGCTAATTATGAAAGACTGTAGGGTAAATTCTAGTAAATTGAAGGGCCATAAACGAAGAAAATTTATTTAGATTTGAAATATTAGTTAGAAATGAAGCAACAACAAATATTTTAAATACACTGCAATATAAAATAAAAATAAAAAAAAAATTAAAAGTAGAATAAAACATCAGTAGCTGCCACCCTGAATAAGATGTAAGCTAAAATAGATCTGGAATCTTACCTTCATGAAAATTATAGCGATGGTGTATATCTAAATTCCATCCTCCAAGCTCTGACGTGTCCATGTCATAGCCTTTGAGTGTCAGGGAATGAGATGTCCAGAGTACGTCTCGGCATGTCACGTACTCGTAACCCACAAAAACTGTCAAGTATAAAAGTAAATTCGATTTCAGCTGCATAGAAATAGTTTGATAAAAAGAGTTCCCAATATGATAGCAACATAGTGATGAAAACTTTATGGTATAAATCGGAAAGGCTGGAATAATTTAATATTATGCATAATATAGAAACAACTAGTTCCAGAAATATTATAACGGTTTAATACTTCCATAGTAAAACTTCTTAAATAATTTTTATAGTAACATGCTTAGAAGCGCAAATAAATAGACATTCACTAGTACGTTTTACACTCATGTCCATAAATTAAGGATAATGCAAAATCAGGCAAAGGAAGAGTTAGAAGCAAAAGAAATTTGACTTATTTGTAAAGCTTATTTATTAAACAAAAGGTAAAGAGCAAAAAAAGATGCTAAATGTTTGATATTATTAAAAAAAAATTAGCGATTTTTTCTCCCTAGAGCAAAATAAAAAAAAAAAAAAAAAAAAAAACTGAAATTTTTCAGATTTTAAATTACGTCTAAAGGGACGTTTTTTTAACGTTTGAGTGTTACCTTTATTTATTAAATATCATGTTCTTTGCACTTAAACCATAAAATTCAGTTCAAGAGCAATATTGCAAAATAATGTTAAATTAAGCATATATTTAGAATTTCCGATATACACAGTCTCGCGAGCTGGAGATAAAAGTATTTTTTTTTCTATATAACGTTTGCCATTTCTCGCTTTTAAAGCATTGAGTTTGTTAATCAAAAATTCGTTAAAGTTTTACAAAATATAAAATCTATAATAAAACAAATTCCAAATTTGGGATTTTCAGATGCCCATATTCGCAGTAGGATTTCGTCATTCAAAATTCGATGGCTCTATGTACCATTTTTTTATCACAATGCGAGAAATAGACAAATCATTTATGCAGATTTTTCATTATTAATTTCTTCAAATATAATGCAGGACTCTAACATTTTGTGGCAACAGTTTGAAAAGTGAACCGACGTTTATGAGTCCGACGCAAAATGCCAAAACGAAAGCAATAGTTCTTCGGGACTGAAATCCCTTTGGACTAAAAAAAAAAAAAACCTATGTACAAAAAACCAATATTACATGGTTGGTATGATTGTTAATACATTGTATGTCTCCCAGACGATGCAATACAGTCCGTACAACGGACATGCTGAGTATCAAATTATCGATCTGACCTTGGGGGATATTACACCACTCAAAAAGCAATGCTCTCCGAAGTTCCGGTAGACATGTAGGAAGAGGTTGACGGGCTGCAACTCGTCGGCCAAGCATGTCCCACACGTGCTCTACTGGATTCATGTCCAGTGAGAATGCTGGCCAGTCCATATGGGTGATATTCTCCGATTGAAGGTATTCGCTTACGATGTTTGCACGGTGAGGACGGGCGTTATCATCCATAAACACAAATTGTGCGCCCATGGCGCCCCGAAACAAACGTACATGTTGTTCCAGAATGACGTCCCAACAGATTTGGGTTGTCATGGTTCCAATTTGAACATGCAGGTCAGTTCTGGAACCCAGAATAATTCTACCCCAAACGAGCACTCCTGCACCACCGTAACGGTGATGTTTTCTTGGTGGTAACGGGTACCTGGAGCTCTCCATATGAAAGTCCGGCGAGAATTAGACCGCAAGCTAAACCTGGACTCGTCGGAAAACATCAGACAAGCCCACTGTTGCGGTGCCCACAATGCATACTCTCTACTCCAGGCTAACCGCAGGCGACAGTGAGTTGCAGTAAGTGGAACGCATCTGACAGGTCTACGAGCATATAGACCAATCTGCCCTAAGCGTCTGTACACGGTCTGCCTTGAAATGGTCGTACCAGTGGCTGAAGAGAGTTGACGAGACAGGTCTGAGCTGTGCTCCGCCTGTTTCTTTTGGCAGTAACTGACAAATACCGGTCCTCATTCGGCGTTGTAACTCTGGGGCGACCTGTGCTGTAACGTCTACTCACATTACCATCATTTTGGAGCCTGGAGATGACACTCTGGGCAATTCCAAGTTCGTCTGATACTTCCAGTTGGGTATGCCCACATTCCAGACGGCCGATAATTCTACCACGTAAAAAAATCATCCAAATGCGTCTTTTGTGCCATAACTATTCGGTTATTGCACTGAAATGCTTATAAAGCGCCTGCGAACAATTTTACTTCTTTGCCTGTATTCCTTATATATCACTCTCTTACACTCTCGTCATTGTGACGTACCATCGGTGTAGTCTGGTTACTTCCTAAAATTTGATTATGTTTCTTGAAGATGTGTGTAGTGATTTTACAGGTGATATATTTATTTTAGAGTTCGATTTCCGCGTGACTCCGAATTATCCTTAATTTATGGACATGAGTGTAATAATGCAATGGTCTTCCTAATTGATTGTTAAATGGTACACCTGATTTGTTAATATAATTACCGCTTACTAAATGCTATGCATACTTTATTATAAAACATGTACTAATATAACTACAAAAATAGTAATGATTTTGAATTATATTTTAATACTTAACTAAATGCACCCACAATTCGAATATGTTTTGTTTCCAATGACTTAATTATTTACGCAGAGTAATAATAATGAAAGCATTACTAGTAATAATTATCATGTTTTTAAACATGCCTGTGTTAACAATGTTTTACTTTTGAGAGTATGGAATATAAGTTTATATGTCACCTATTTAATATATATAATAATAATTAGCCAAAATGGTCGTTAGCCCAGAGGGGCTATTAGTCTCGAAATGGTATTTTGCATCGAATCACTATAAACGGCTGTGTCACTTTTTAGGTTGTTCCCACCAAATATTTTCGCACTGTCTTATATTTAAAGAAATAAAATAATAAACAGTCTCCATAAATGAATGTATGTTTCTCGCATTGTGCAAAAACAACGATAACTAGAGCCATCAAATTTCGAATAAGAGAGTCCTCCGCTGGAATATGGGCTCCTGAATCTTGAATTTCGAATTTGCTTTATTATCTATTTCCCAATTTTTTAAAATTTTAACGAATTTTTGATTAAAAAGCTCAAAGATTTCAAAGCAAGCAGTGCAGACATTGTACGGCATAGCACATTTTTATTCCCAGCGCGGGAGACAGTCTCCCGCGCTGGGAATATCCGAGACCGAAATTCTAAAGATACGCTGTATTTAAATATTTTTAGCACAAAGCGGCGTTAGCCCAATTGCTCACGAAACGTGTATGTGAGTGTAAATGGGGAAAAAAACCCCACCTTCTTCGGGCGTAATATAAAGTTTGGAAGCTTTCAGATTTTTTTAACTTTCTCGTACAAAGTAAAAAAGAAGTATTGTCATCGCGAAAAATTTCGGGTATTCATATTTCAACGATGTTTTTGCGTGACATGTATACCTAAGGACAGAATAAAGGACTCTTTTCCCCAGACGAATTATAAAACTGATTTAAAATGGATTCAAAAGGCATTTTTTCCGTGGAGTCTGTACGTACGTACAGTACAGACTTACGTATCTCGCATGACTCAAAAGGAGGACGTTGCATGAGCTTATTCTGTAACTCCCAAATAGAGAGTATAATTTTCTGCTTTCATAAACTTTTTATGAAGCTGATCCGCACTTCGGCCATCCATCCACATAAATGACAAAAAAAGTGATGACCAAAATGTACAAAATCACTATTACAAAATCATACAAAATTAGGTACAGCAGCTTAGTCATCAGAAATTCAGATGATTGGAAAAAATATCAAGCCAACGGGTAAGCAGAATGTTACCTAAAGCAAAGAAAACAGACTATATGAGAATTTCAGAGCAAGTTTTGACAAGCTTCAGAGCAAGTTTTAGCAGGATTTTTCAGAGCAAGTTTTAGCAGGATTTAGGAGTGTTCCTTTTTTTTTTTTTTAGTTACAGGAACAATATGATTGAAACTTCCATCTCTACACAAAATAGCATGAACGGAAAACAGATATCTTCTGTCAACGGAAGGTATCGTATGTCACCATAATTAGCACATTTACGACTAGCATTTTTTGAAGTGTCAAAGGAAAATTGATAATTGATTATCTGAAACTTGCAAAAACAAACTCAGTGGGCTTTATGTACAGGTAGCAGTAAAAGTGAGCTGAAATATTAGCAGTAGAGGAAGGGAAAAGCAGTCCAAATGATTCTTTACCATAATGACAATATGCGTCATATATCTCTGTCAAAGCAACGGCAATAACCTACTGCAGGATAACATTTTTACCTTACTCATTACATTAGCCATATCTTGCCTCAATTGGTCCTTTTCTGTACCGAAAAACCTAATTAAAATCCTTTGAATGTGCATTTTGGAAGTCATGTTGAGGCAATGAAGATGCGAAGATTGGTTTTTAAAGCATGAAGAACACCTTTTCTCCTTAGGATTAACTACTGAAAAGACAGAAAAAAGTATTTTTCCGTATGAAAAGATTACACTTAAAAAAAAAAAAAAAAAAAAAAAAACACAGTTGGTTCCTTTAGCATTGTCTTTTATACGTCGTTCTTAATACGATATTCGTATTTCAATTAATATCAATTAGATATTTTATTAAATAATTAAATAAAAATTTAAATTATTTGGCGTTTGTCTACTGTTTCAAAACGTTTAGTTTTTAAAGCTGCAAAACAAATTAAATTTGAAAGATAAATTAAGATCTTATGTTTTTCCTAATGGCCAAACTCTTAAGGACTAATAGTGCACAAGATCAGGAGCAAGATAAATAAAGGAATTTACATTTCTCTCGGCGGCAATATTTATCAAAGAGACTGAATGTTATGTGTATAGAAAGCTAACGTAATAAACTTATAACGTGTTTAAATGCTTTTAATAGTCCTTAAAAGACATTCAAATGTGTTTAAAAAGCTTCGCTAATAGTGTTCTAAAATCAGAATAAATTTCTAAATGTTAAAGAATTAATTTATTAATTTTAACTCGCAGAATGTTTCTAATTTTCTATAAATATAAAATATCACCACTATTCGCTGCTTTGAAATTTCCCATTTTCTTCTTT